TATATATATATGGAGTGGTTCAAATGAGAAAAAAAAAATATTAAAAACTCTAAGAACTATCTTTTTAATTTTTTATTGATGAAATTTTAATCGAATCAAACAACAATATTATATGAAACCAAACTCTACATTTCCATAATTTACAACCATTTTGCACTCATCGTCGAACCATTGTCGTGCAACTATCGGACGCCGTCGGACCACCATCGAACCGTCACCAGACTAACAAAAAACTCAATGGAATTTTGTAGTCAAATTCATAGCGTAATAAAACAAACATTATTGTTCATAATATACAAATTTAATAAAAAAATAGAGTTATGTTATGACAAATCGAATTATTTCTATTCTAAATTACAGATCTCTTAAAAAATGACATATTCAGAATTCAAAATTATTCACAATTTAATAAACATATTAATTCCCTAATTCACAGTTTATTATTCTTAATTTATAGTCTATTATTCTAAAACATACATTCATTCATATTTTAATACAATTTTATATGAAATACATAACTTAATATAGTTCATTATCAATTTAATATATAAAATTCACAATTTAATACAATCTGTTATATATTAATTCACATATTTAAAGAAAGTAAAACTCAAACTTTATCACCACCACCATCTACCACACGTCGCTACCAGCCACTTGTGCCATTGTTAGAACAATCATTCATTCCAAATCATATTTGTATATAAAATCATATATTGAAAGCTTCAATATTATATTCAGAATTTAATAAACTCATTCGTTCACTAATTTAGAGTTTAATGCAAAACATTTAAAAAAAATACATTCTTACATATTTATACAACATAAAAAATAAATATAATCACAAGAAAATTAATACAAACATTACAACATAAATCAATTATATTTTAATGCAAAATTTATGAAAATTTTACAACTTAATACAATTAATTCATAACTTCATACAAATAATATTCACAAGTTAATATAATAAATTCGTAGTATAATGCAAAAAAAAAAAAAAATTATACATTTACAACGATATTTTCAACTTAAAACTTATATTTATAGCACCAGATCTAGAGATTAGTGTTTATTTCAAAGATTAATTTACACAATATTCACAGTTTAGTTTTTACGTATTTTATTCAAGATTAGAGAAAATTAGATCCGTGTATAATGTTTGTTTCATCTCACATTTCAAAAAGTAACACAAAATTCATAAAAAAATCATAATGTAATATAGTCAATTCATAATTTAATATTGTAAATTCATAGTTTAATACAGAAAAATTTACAATTTAATACAGTAAATTATTTAATTTACAGTTTAATACAAAAAGATTATACATTAACAATCATATTTTCAACTTAAAATCTACGTTTCAAGATTTTCATTCACAATTTAATAAAGCAGTCCAAGACTCTTATTTATAGTTTTCACAACTTAAAAACATATATGATTTTGTTGCAGCATATCGTCAAAAACCTTGTACGCACTACACAAATTCACATTTTAATAGAGCATTTCAAGACTCTAATTCATAGTTTAATAAAACATATCATGACTCTCACTCGCAATTTAATAAAACACTCAAGGGCTCTCATTAGTTCATAGTTTAATAAAAACTAACAGTTCAGTAAAGAAGTTAAAGACTCTCATTCACAGTTTTATAAAGCAATTCACAACTATCATTCACAATTTAATAAAAAATTTAACACATCAATTTAATAAAAAACTTTAACACGTGACTCTCATTCAAAACTTAATAAAATGGTTTAACACTCTTATTTACAATTTAATAAAGTAAATTAGGACTCATTCACATAATGTAACAAGCAATGAGAACCAACCAAATATTAGAGCTTTGTCCCCTGTACGTGATATCTAGGACCTTTTTCTTATCATTTATATTTTGTAAAGTATGCTTAACACTAAAACAAAATTTCAATAATTTATTCCTACATATAACATAATTATCTTACGACATGCTTAAACACCACTATTTTTATGCTACTAATAATATCCACAGTGCAAAAATGTACTATATAGTGAAGGTAATTAAAACATAATATTTAGGATATCAAACTATGAAAATGATGTCTAAAAAAGTTTGGAACATCTGTACTTGAAAATTGATGTATCAGTTTCATAAAAAACATAATACAAGCAGTAGAAAAAGAATAAAAATGAACGATGATGTTAAACAACTATACTAATGAGGTCAAACAAATTTGTATAATTACCTTGATTAACGAACAGGAAATCGAAGATCTCACATATCTATTGACGATGAAGGCGACTACCTTTAGAAATCAACAAATCAAAAACATCGAGTCGCTCTCCAGTTTATTGAATCACACGTATTTGACATGAAATTTCCTATCTCGATCGTTAACATGTCTCGATCATTAACATAACATGAAATCGGAGGAAGAAATCGATCCAGATGCATAACTGAACAAATAGTTTATTGATAATCAATTGTAGATCCGATATAGAATCTTCAGTGTTATTGCCCGATTCAAAATTAGTGATAGAGATAAAGGTGATCGACAGAAGAGCATGGAGGATGGAAGTGCAGTGGATCATCAATTTATTTGTCAAGAAAAAAGAGAGGCGGTGGTAAGACCTTGGAGGAGATGCTTATGTACGGATAACATACATAAACCCTAAATTCCCATTTGTAGAGTTACTGACTCTATAAGTTATTTATTTAATTTTGGGTGGATCTTTTTTTATGGCAACAATTGTGTTTGAGTATTTTTTTTAGAACTACATTATATAAAAAGAAACAAGCCTTAGGGACTAGCAAGAAACTAGCCTAAAATAGCAAAATTACAAAACATAGGTTGTTGGAACACAAGTTCCAATCTCTAACACCTTTTATGTTTCTAGAAGTAAACCAGTTGAAAGAAAACAAAACAATGGAATCAAATAACATGTCCTTGTGATACTTCTTATTTTGAAAGACTTAGTCGTTTCTGAAGCACCAAATAATCCACAATCCTGTCATTAACACCGTACCCGCCATCTCCTTATTATCTTGTCTGACATGCAGGCCTTGAATCCATTATTGAGCTTCTAAAAATGTCACAAGAGCGAGGCGAGGTTTGGAACTCTTGAAATCAAAGTTCAGGAGTCCCATCCACATAAAAATTTAATTTCAAACCTTTTTAGCAATATCACATTGAAAAAAACGAGATCATTATGTTCCAACTGATCATCGCACATCAAACACCTAATATAAGGTACGCCAATTCATTTGCGAGACAAATTTACCCTTGTGAGCAACCTATCCATTGCTATTCTCCAAATCAAAATGTTGACTTTTATAGGAACATATTTATTCCATTTCATAATCACAGGCATAACAGGTAAAGCCCCCACATCCAAATCTTCTCTATGAGAAGCTACAAAATACTCCCCCTCATCACCGAGATGCCAACCCCACGAATCCTTATTTGAATTTAAATGAATATGTTATATCTCCACTTGCAAAGCTTGAAGCTGGTCCATCTCAGCACATGTTCGAAGCTCACAATGCCATTCAAAACTCCACCTTGTGTCTATCCAAAAATCTTTCACCACTCCCTCCTTGTTCAAAGATAAAGCATAAAGTCTATCACACTTCATCTTAAAGCTTAGTTGATCCCGCCACTTATCCCGCCAAAACTGAATAAGAAAACCATCACCCAATTTTCATCTCAGATTACCTTCATCAAATTTACCAGTGGAATCTAATTTACTAATTTAAGAAATAATATTATTCCATACCCCCGTTGATTGAATTCGGCCTTCTCTCCCATTCAAAATTGAATAAGAAAACCATCACCCAATTTTCATCTCAGATTAGCTTCATCAAATTTACCAGTGGAATGTAATTTACTAATTTAAGAAATAATATTATTCCAAACCCCCGTTGATTGAATTCGGCTTTCTCTCCCACTTTACCCAACGAATTTAGACTCTAACATGTTACACAATTTTATAGGCATCTTGAATAAAGACATGTAGTAAATCCTTAAGCTTCCCAAAACAACTTTTATCACTACAAGAAAAAGACCCTTGTACGATGCGCAAACAACGACACTCGTTGATTTATGTTACGCAAAAGTGAGTGACATTAAAAAAGTGTCGTCTCTTCAAAAAAATTTATGATTTATGTCACGCATTATTGCATGCCCTTAAATTAGTGTCTAAACAGAAAAAAAAATCAAAGAGGGCACCTATAGTAAAATGTGTGTCATCTAAAGATGTCGCTTTATAAATTTTAATGGAACGTGCGTTCCATCGGGGGAAAATGAAATTCTAAAAAATTAAAACCCCGCATTTTTTTCTTCTTTCCCTCTTGCCCTAATTATCGACGCTCCTTCCTTTCCCTCTTGTTTCTCTCAGTCGCTACCTAGGGTTTTTATTGAAAGCTTGAATAGATCGACTGAGGTAACCAAAGGTCAAGTGAACCGGGAAAGGGTCTTCAGTGAAATCTACTGTTACTCTTTGAAATTGGATCTAATCCTACCTTCGCCCCATCCTTCTTGTCTCTATCGGTTGTTACCTTGGGTTTTTTCGTGAAATCTTGAATCGATCGACCAGGGTAACTAAAGGGTAAGCAGACCGGGAAAGGGAAGCAATAAATCCAACACTCACTCTCAAATGGATTCTACTGGACAAGGTTTCAAATTGGGGCTCTCTAAATTCTCATCGATTCTACTTTCATTCAAGCTTACATCGGTTTTTTTGGTATCCAGTAACCGCATTGATTCGACTTTCTCTCTCTGAACAAAAATATCTCATATTCTCAAAAAGCCCTAAACCAGCCACCGCCGGCTATCACCTCCACCATCGTTGATGTCATCCTACTTCCCAGATGGTCTGTGTATGTGTGCGGCAAGACTGAACAGAAAATGAGAAAGAAAAGAAAAAACAAGTAGAAAGAGAGAGAAGAGAGTTTTAGGCTGAGGGGAGGATGCATCGGAGTTGAAGGTATTGTTGTTGAACTTATGGAAGGGGGGGGCTAATGGCAAAAAGGAAGCAGGAGCTGAGAAGATGCTTCCTGTTATTCTGGATTCTGTCCATTTTAAAGATGGAACATTACTGTTGCTTGCATATGGTGACAATGAGCCCAGGTAAATCTGAAGATGTGAATGCCCTTCTGTTAGTCATAAGTCTTAAGCTTATGTGGGTTTTCCTTTGGGTATTTTCATATTATTCTGAATGGCACGCCAGCAAACGGAAACAATTAATTTTACCCTTCACAATTGATTGATGCTGGTTGTTTATGTCACCAAAGCCTAAAGCAGTTAATTCTAGTTTTATAAATATATAGGTTTTCATGCACGTGGTGTGTCAGGAAGCATAGTCTGTCTGATTTTTAAAACTTGGTTATGGGTTTCATATATAGGCTTAGCCCTTAGCAGTTAGCATATACCCTTCACAATGGTAACATGGAATTATCAGGTGTTGCAAAGGTTATCCTGAAGAGGGGGAAAACACAACTGTTTCGTGATGGAAGCCCAATGGTTTACATCGGTGCAGTTGATAGAATTATTAGTAGACCACCCCCAAAAATAGGTGGCTTTGTGCTGGTGGCTGATGGGGCACAAAACCCAATCGGTTGGGGCTTGTACAACAGGCTCATGCAGCTAGAGGAGGAAGTATTAGGGTATTCTGTCATTACTCAAGTCAAATTAAAAAACTGTGTGATGAATTAAGATTATTTTAATTAATATCTGGATGGAATGAATGAATTGAATGGCACAGTGATCCTTCTTGTGCATTGAATGTGGAAAAGCTGCTTGAAACAAGAATAGATGCAGCCATCGGATGACGAGCTTGGGGCTCCCTTTTGCCAATGCAAATGCATATCGTCTTGTGAATAGTGAAGGGGATAGGTAGCTATTTCCTATTATTTTGAATCTGTTGTTTATAGCTATGGCTTAATAATTTTGTCCAGAGTATAGATTGTTAGGACTTATAGTTGATGTGTTTGGGGATTTGGCTGTGATTGCGTCATCAGCTGCATGGGTTGAGAAGTACAAGTAACATATTAAGAAGTGTATCAGTGGATTGAATATGATCAAGAGTGTAGTGTGGAGGCTATCAACAGAGATATTGAAAGAAGAAGGGTTAGACTTAGAAAACGAAGAAGAAGAGTTATTATGTGAAAGGGTGGTTAAGGTTGTGGAGAATGGGATATCTTATATGAACTCGTTGGATGGGCAAAAGACAGGGTTTTATGTGGATCAGCGTGAAAACCGTGAATTTATATCTACCATTTCGGATGGTCAAAGAGTGCTTGCCATGTGCTGCTATACTGGTGGCTTTGCTCTAAATGCTGTACATGGTCATGCTTTGGAAGTCACTGGTGTTTGTTTCCACTCCCTTATTTATGCATGCATATTGGTTATCTAATACTAGATATTATTAAGGAATGCATCTATTTATTTCCAATAAGCAATGTGTATGTTGTTTGATTGACAGGTGTTGATACGTCATCTCCTACTTTGGAAGTAGCTAACCATAATGTCATTCTCAACAATCTAGATCCAGGGAAGATATCATTCCTGAAACAAGATGTGGACATGTCAAGTTCCAAAATAATTACAGTTGTATCCATGTGCAATTGAGTGGTAATTGTAAGATGTGGCAATCGGAATCGGATGTAACATCAGAAGATGGTGGCTGGCTGTCTACAGATGTTTTTGCTGATACAGTCGACCAAAATGGCATGCCAATCTCAAAGTTGTTAGTCTTTTTGTTCTGGTAAGGTATTGCTTTGCTTCATACAAAATATATTTCTATACTTTTTTTTCTTTCTTTAGGCTAAATCTGTTTCTTTCTTTTACTCGTATTTTCTGCACTGCAACTATTCAAAAGGATTTTAGAAATTCCTATTGCATGATATGAAGGAAGAGCCAGTGGTGAGGTGATTCCCTCTTGACACTGTTTCTTGTATTCTCTAGTTTTAGAAATAGCAACATACTTCCATTCATATGTGTTAAATTTTTTTCTGTTTTTTTCTTAATACTTTGATAAATCTACTTTAATTATTATAGCAAATTGCTTTCTATTTGGATGAAAGTGCATTATGTAGTCCTTTTAGATATTCCTCTTACTCTTGTTTTGAAATTGAACAAGGGAGCAAGCATAACTACTATTTGGGTTTATTTTTATATTGGTGGGATGATAGTATACGGGGTTTATTTGTATGGATTGGAGCTTGCAGGTTCACATTTTCATGTCACAAGGAGAAAGTTTCCCGAATCTTCATGGACAACTTGATGTGACAAGGTTGGCTTTTCAAATATCTGATGCGCCATCTTCATTTTCTGTATGTCCCATTTTTACAATTTATAACTAGAATTTCATCATAATTACCTTTGCTTGATAAGCATCCCCCTCCCCGTTTGTAAGATATATTTGCAAGCATGTGTTTTCGGGCTCAATGAATATTTTTACACAATGCGAGTGGTTGGTTTGGCAAGGTTCCTCTAGAAGCTTCTGGAGATTTCGGAATTAAACAAGAGGAAGTAGAATGTCACCTTATGTGTCAGGTTCTTCCTTCTCTGTGGAAGTAAATGCCCTAATGAAAAGGTTTAAAATGAAACCTCTATTGTTTCCGGTATGTATGTTCCTTTTGAGTAAGCTAATGCTAATCTACAAATTTCCAAATGTGTGGTTTGGTTTTAACTTCCTATCTCTGTGGTTGCAGTTGGCAGGATCAGTGACAGCTGTTTTCAACTGTCAAGGCCCTTTGGATGCTCCAGTATTTGTGGGAAGTGGGTTGGTTTCAAGAAAGTTATCTAGTTCAGTTGCTGATGTTCCTACATCACCTGCCTATGAGGCAATCATGAAGAATTAAGAGGCTGGTGCAGTGCCAACATTTGACAGGGTTCCATTTTCTTATGTATCGGCCCATTTTACTTTCAATACTGATAATTGTGTAAGTTGCTCGTACTTTTTCTTGTTAAATCATAGAATTAAAAATCATGTTTCATAGAGAACATGGAACAAACATTTTGCAGGTTGTAGATTTATATGGAATTAGAGCAAATCTTGTAGATGGTGGCGAGATTCGCAGGGCAGGAAATGCATGGATTTGTACAGAGGTACTTATCGCTTGTTGATAATGCATCATCTTCTCTATCTTAGCATGTAATGTATTTCATATTGTTTGTGTACACTTAATTTATGACAGTTTTGTCATCGTTTATGGCTTCAGATCATTTTTTTATCGTCAACTTCTCTTATTCATTGACACTGGTGGAAAATGAAATTCTATATTGGCTCCATGATCTGATCTTGGATTTTCGATTTATTTACAGGGCAAGGAAGATGACACAGCAATGGATGTGAACTTTTCTGGGAATCTATGCTTTGATAAAATCATGGATCAGTATATATGTTCCTGGTTATAATTATCTTGTACCCTTCAAGTTAGGGGATTTGAATGGAGAAACAAAACTCTCTGGCTCGTTTCTCAAACCGTAAGACTTCAGCCACATCTAATTTATTTCTCTTTAAGCAGCAAGTAACTAAAGAAACAAACATCTATCTCATTCAATTATCATTTTTTTTCTTATATCGTAGGAGACTCGATATTAAGTGGAGTGCACCAAAAGCCGAAGGATCATTTGGAGATGCTCGAGGAGACATCATTATATCGCATGAAAGCATCAACATCAGTTCTTCATCCATTGCTTTTGAGTTGGTTACAAAAGTTTAAACATCTTACCCTCACGAAAACTGGCAAAATATAAGATATCATGGTTTTTGTTATAGGTAACTTGTCGATTGCTTGGAGTTATACTTGAAGAAAGTACCCCACACGAGCTTCAAGTATTAGTTAAAATATTCACATCATTTTATAAATTTAGCCACTGAAATATATATATATATATATATATATATATATATATATATATATATATATATATATATTATATATATATATATATTATAACAATACTTTAATCATTTAAGTGTTCACTAATTTTTTTTTAAACAGAATCAAGCAACTGTGAGATCATCTGTTTTGGATGTTCTTTTGGAGATAACAAAATTCTGTGACCTTTATCTCATGGAAACAGTTTTAGATGATGAAAGTGAGGTATTATAATTTATATCTTTACTTTAATTGTGGGTCCCATTTAAATACCAATCAAGAATAATCATAAATTTGGTAATTATTAATTTTTTTGTTATCTTGTTGGCTAATTGATACTATTATTTGTTGTAGAAAAAGGTTTTAATTGCATTAGAAAATGCTGGGATTTTTACATCGGGTGGTTTGGTTAAAGATAAGGTAAAAAGTAAAACTAACATTCCTTGTTTGATATGTATATGTGCTTGTGTGTAGGCTGTTGTCAAAAAGCTTACATACATTCACTTTTCCCTCATTTGACCACTCACATTTGGCACGGGTATTTGCAACTACATTCCTTGTTTGATTCTTCTATTAATTATATTAGCATATTAAATTTTTGACTTTTATTTGATCAGGTCACAAGAATTATCAGAGTAGGGGTTCATTAGACTTAAATAATTATGAAAGGCAAGATGCAACTCTACTTACTTGGAATTTGATGTTTATCATCTTTTTGTATATCTTTTTAGTTTGTATAGCATTACTTTGCAGAAAGTGTCCCTTGATACACAATGTAGTATTAGGTTATATAGTTAGGGAAAACCTTTTAATAACAATGTACAGTTAGATCCCCTTAATATCAATGTATTGCAATTTTTTGACATGATGTTATTAGATGAAATTAATTGTTTTGGTATATATTTGTTTACATATTTTTGTATTATGTGTAAATGAGTATCGTAAAGATGTTTCGTAAATGCATATCGTAAATGATTATTGAATTTTATGACACGTAAATGCGTGTCATCTTCATTTATGATAGAGGCTTCCTTGATACGCATTGCGTGTCATAAACACGTGCATCGTAAGGTTACGAAACACAAATGCGCGTCGCTTTCCTTTATGACAGGGTCTTCCTTGATACGCATTGCGTGTCATAACTACGCGTCGTAAATGTGTTCCATAAATGTACGTCATAAATAGACGGTGCGCAAAAGCCTGTCATCTCTCGTTATGACATGGCCTTCCTTGACACACATTTGAGCGACGTCTGAGCGTTTTATGACACACATTGCACGTCATAAAAGGCTGTTTTTCTAGTAGTGCATGTGCTTGGGTTAGAAACCCTAATTAGGGTTTAGAAAACCTTAATCTTGGGGATTTAGTTTGGACTTGTCGGGACCTGCGTTTTGGACCATTGGATTGATGTTATAACTTATGCCCGATTACATTGTATGGTTGGCCTAGTGGGGTAATGAACTTAATGGATTAAGTACTTAATGGGTTATGTAAGAACACTTAACCCTAATCGTCATTTTTTTGTGAAAAACCCTAATTAGGGTTGGGTTCTTGTTGGGCCATTCGAGAACAAGTTTATGGAATAAGAAAATTATTGGGTTTTAGGATAAGGCCCATTGGAAAGATTTGGGCCAAATTTGGAAAATTAGGCCATAAGTGGGCCATAGATAGGCCTTGATGATTATGAGATATTGGACCATCGGAATGCTAAGTGTTTGGACTAGAATAAATGGTTAGGCCTTAAGGTAGGACCATGTAGAGTTTTGGGCCTAAATTGGAAAATTAGGCCATATGGTGGATCTTGGTTGATTATTTGGCTTTTGGGCCTTCAGAGTGTGAGTTTGGGGCTTGGTTTTGCACCAAGCTAGGTTAGGGGTAAAATGGTCATTTTACCTTAAATGTAGACTTATGGTTATGCATTGAAACCCAAATGGTTAGTTGAGTGTTGTTTTGATATGGACAGTTCGGGAGTCTGTTATCCAACAACTAGAGTTTTATCTGCTGGACTTCGGCAGTGTGAGGTGAGTATCCTTGCCATACCAAAGGGTCGACGACACCAAGGCCGACCCATTATGTTATATGTGGTGTGTTAATTGTCTTTGTGATACTTGCTTGGAAGACCTTGGGGGAGCCTGTGGCACTTGGATATCAGACCATGTGGGAGAGCCTATGTCACATAGGTATAAGACCATGGGGGAGCCCACAACATCCTAGAGTAGGACCCTGGAGGGAGTCCATGACATCCGTATATGTTTGTATGCATGGCTTGTATGGTTGATATGTTTTATGTGATTATGTGGATTGTATATGGTATGTTATGGGGAACTCACTAAGCATCGTGCTTACAATTTTGCTTATGGTTTAAGGTATCATTGGTTTGGAAAGGAAGGGTCCGACTTGATCACATTGCACACACCCGTGTTTTCCGCATTATGTGATTTTGGGATGTAACTCTGATAAATGTTTTAATTAAGCAACGTTTTTGAATGGTTGGATTAAGTAACATTTGTTTTTGACTATATATAAGAATAAAACTTTTACCTTGGATTTTTGGTTCATTACAACACGATAATTTTAGAAAAAAACACCGATAAACTATTCGTCGTCCAAGTATTTGCTCTCGATCTGTGCATTCATCCTCCGTATCACTTCATCTCGTCTCGGTGGCATGTTTTCTTTGCTTTTCATAAGAATTGCCAAATCCTTCGATATACGATCTTGCTCAGCTTCTTGACGAAGGAACTCCATATGATGACGTTGCAATTCATATCTTTTATTTGCAATTTCCATGTGGACATCGAATTTTTGTTTCATTTCCGCGTGCTCTTGAAGCTCACTTTCATTCTTCTCCACATGTCTATGAGTACGCTTCACTTTGTCGAGCCCCATCGGTCGTCGTGATGGAGAGATTTCGTTGATGACGTCAAAGGCATCCGGGAGCTTATCGGTGTCCATGTTGAGGTTGATGTTCGTGCGTCCGTTGGAAATGTCAACCGAACCCGAACCACGAGACCTCTTTGATTGTTGTTCCGATGATGTTGGCGTTTTTATCCATTTTGGATCTTTCTTCACGATATCCCAAATTTTTTCGTGCTCAAATACGTGACCCATTTTCACATGATATTCCTCCCTCGCGGCTCTAAACACATCGAACTGATTTGCACTACTTTTCCGTTGCAAAGAAAGTTTGTTGTAGATGAAATTAAATTTGGTGCACTTCCAGTTAATTTGAGTCCATTTGCCACTTAGTATATCGTGATTGCGATATGTGTCATTCTTGTTCAAAATTGTGCGGAATTTGACAATCACGACTTCCCAAAAAGCAACTCTCCTCATATCGTTCCCCAAAGTTGCTTGTTTTGAAATCCCGCACCAATCCACCGCCAACGCATGCTCTTCCTCTCGTGTCCACCATGTTGGAGGTCCTTCTGTTTGCTCCGCGCCGACCATGACCTCTTTCCCTTTTTCCTAATACTTTCTGACTACCCCGGCCTGCATCTTGATAATAGTTTCATCTTGATAATAGTTTCTTGCATGGGTGAGAGTTGTGTGATTGTTTGTCGCATGAGACCAAATGTGTTAAAAAGGTTTTGTTGAATGTTTGTATTTTGTTTCATAAAAGGCGAGGTAAAGAATAGTAGTGGATGTGAGGCGGAATAAAAAAAAGTTGCCGGAATATGGAAGTTGTGGTGAGTTTTGCGAGTTGAGAAGGTTCATGTAGCCATCGTATCCCACAAAACCTATTGGAATGGATGTGATTGTGTTTGGAGGAGGAGTATTTGGATTTTGATCCACATTGGTTTTTGTGTTTGGTTGATTTTTGTGTTTGGGTTTTGAATGATAAAAGAAATAGAGATAGATATAGAGAAATAGAAGTGTAGGTAAAAAGAATGATATATATATATATATATATATATATATATATATATATATATATATATATATATATATATATATATATAGTTTAAAAATTGGTTTTTGTGTTTGGGTTTTGAATGATAAAAGAAATAGAGATAGATATAAAGAAATAGAAATGTAGGTAAAAAGAATGAGATATATATGTATTTATATAGTTTAAAAAAATTAATTAATAATTTTTTTTGAATTTACCGTTTTAAACGGTAATATTACCGTTTTTAATCTGATGAAAAAATGCAACGGTCGAAAAATTCAACGTTACAATCCATTACCATGGCAACGCGTGGCCACATAACTGCTGAAAACATGATTTTTTTTTTTTTTTTTGTGTGTGTGTGGGGGGGGTTGTACGCACGTTATGCCGGCTATAAAGATCTACCAAATCAGCTCAACACCGTGTGACGTTACTCATACCGTGTGATGTTACTCATACTCATCGGTCTTAGTAAAGTTAATTCTCTCACCATAGAATGGCCACAAGGCTATACCACTGATTGTATATGTCTCGTTTAAAGTAAGTTACAAAAATGTCCCCATACTCTGTGATTTTTACGTATTTTGTCCAAAATTATAACCTTTTTCAATTTTGGTATGTGTTACAAGGTTTGGTATAGATTTTGGTCCATATGTCATTTACTTTGAGAACCTTTTTATTAAATTATTTTTATCATATTACCATTACTATTAATATTTACAATTAAATCTTAAAATTAACTATTAAACCCCAATAATTGTATTGTTTTGTGTTCATCAGAAATCTTTATCATTAATAAATTGATTTTTTTTTAATAAAATGAAATAAATATTAATAAAAAAATATTTTTAATGTGCAAAATAGTCTATTCAACAATGTCTGTCGAAAGATAGTGTCCTAAAGTTGGAATTTTTTTTAAGTTGTGTATGACTTAAATGCCCTCATAGTGAACTCAGGACATTATCATTTCTATAATTTAAATACACATGCACCATTATGTAAATATAACGTAATCAACCCATCCCCACACACATAATTACATAAATGGACCATTTGTGAAATTGTTTTACACAAGGACCATTTTACTTAATACAAATGTATATAACAGGTCCCATTTCTATATAATTATTTATAATTTTTATCCCCATCAGCCATAACCATAGACACATTGAAGCAGCGTTTGTATAAATTTTTTTAATAGAGACCGAATTTTTTGACAAGTCTATGCATACAAAGGATCTCATACAACTATGCAAGTTTTAGCATGTAAGGGACAATTTGGTTAATTTACACCTTAGAACAACCACATATTATCTATGGATTTTGAGGAAAATTTAGGAGTTTAGGACCAGGTTTTGTCACTTTATTTTCTCCACTTTAAGAAATACATTATACCTAAAAGAAATGGATTTTTAAAAAAGGAGTTGTATGTGGTTTTGTCAACAACTAAAACTTGTAAGTGTATAACAATAGTTACACTCTACAAGTCAAAGCAATTTAATAGAAGATAGCGTTAACAATATTAAAAAATAGACCAATGACCATTACTTTGAATTCAACATTAAACAACTAAAACCTACACAAAGTTTGAAAATAAAACCCCACACAATGTTTTTGTATTGAAAATTCATATAAAATATAGTTTTATATTCTATCCCACTATATAAACCAAATTAAAACCATTTGAATCCATTATAACTTTGCTAGACCACCTCTAATGACTTCGTTTAAAATAATAGCTTTATTT